TGAGAAATCAGCACTTAATCTTATCTGCCCTCCCTTATTATATGTTACTCTTTGTTTCTTCCTTGCTGCATTCAGAATTCTCTCTTTATCTTTTGTTTTGGCAAATTTTACTATTATATGCCTTGATGTTTTTCTTTTTGGGTCTGTTTTATATGGTGTTCACTCATTATGCCTGGGAAGTTTTTGGGTCTAATTTATATGGTGTTCAATTCTTTATGCCTGGGAAGTTTTCCTCTAGTAATTCTTCCACATCTTTTTTGCTGCCTTTGCTTGCTTCTTCCTGTTCTGGATTCAGATGATGTGTATGTTATTTTTCTTGATGGTGTCCCACATTGTTATTAGGTTTTCTTCCTTTTTTAAAATGTTTTTTTTATTCTTCTTTTTGCTCTAGAACTTCAGTGGTGACAATTCTGTCTTCTGTTTCACTGGTTCTGTGTTCTATCTCTTCAACTGTGCTCATGTGTCTGTCCATCATGTTTACAGCATTGGAATCATTGGACCTCACATTTTAGATTGTGATTTCTTGTTTTTCCAGTGCTACTATTGCCTTATCTGTTTTATCAGCATTGTTTTGTATTTTTTAAAATCCTCCTGGTTTTTGCTTGCAGTGTCCTTTAATTCTTCAAGTATGTCTTTCACTCATTGAAAATATTCAATCATTGTTCTTTTACATTCTGTGTCAGAAAGTTCCATCAGACTTTCTGGCTTCAGAAAATCCGTTGATACTCTGTCACCTTTTTGGGGTGACATCTTGCTTTGTGCTTGTGTAGGATGTGAAATAGCCTGCTTCTTTACTGACATTGATATGTTCTTGATCTGAAGACCATGCTCTAGAATTTGGTGGGTCAACTTCCCTGCCTGTGTTTCTCTCTAAACTTCTGGCTCAAGGGAAGGCTCAGTTCAGTGCCTGTGAGAACAGCCTTTTGTAGCTAAGTCAGATCAAGGTGCTCCGGATTAAAGCCAAATTGATGGACTGGACGTGAAGGCACACATGTGGAGCTGAATTGGGGCAAGGCAGTTACAGGGGGTGGTGCAACCACAGGGGCAGGTCAACCACTTGCAGGGACCTCACTCATATTTCAGATGTCTGGGTGTGCTCATGAGTGGGGTCTCAAATTCCAGCTGTTCATCTCCCACCTAATGGCTATTGTTCAGTGGTCCTTGCCAAGCAGCCCTCACCCAGACACCGTCTTCAGTGGCCCCTGACCCAGCGGGGCTCTGGGTCCAGTGGGGCTTAAGAAAACTCAATCAAATTCTCACTGATCCACTTACTCCTGGCAGGTCAATGAGTTTTAAAAAAAACTATCAAATTCCCATTGACCTGCTTGCTCCTGGTAGGTTAGCAGGACCCAAGAAAACGCAGTCAAATTCCCAACTACCTACTTGCTCCTGACAATTCAGCAGAATTTAAGAAAACTCAATCAATTTTGTCCCGACTTGCTTGTTCCTGGCAGGTGGGTGCCACAGCAACTTGGATGGTGGCTTACTCCGGGACCCACAGCTTGCTGCTCCTGTAGCTCCCAAACTAATTATTTTAGTAAATATTCTGACTTAAATTTCTACTGTCCACATAATGCCACACTGATCTCTGTGCACTGTGTTGATCTCTCTGGTGGCCCATTTCTATGCAGCTTGCCACTCCTCCAGCTCCTTACGCTATTTCCTCCACTGCTACCATCTTGGTTCTTCTTCCATCTTCTTTTAATGCTTCTTGGATCATTTAACATTCTTCCCAAAACATCCTTATGCATTGCCACTTGTGGCTTGAATTTTTTCCCCCAATTCCTTCGGCTTATGAAATGCTGAGCAAGTTCTGCCCTTTTCATGTTCTGACTCCAGCTCTTTGCACATTTCATTATAATATCTTGTTTTGTCATCCTGAGCTGACCTTTGAAATTTTCTGTTCAGCTCTTTAATTTCTTGATTTCTTCTTTTAGCTTTGGCTTCTTGGTACTCTAATGCAATACTCAGCGTCTTGTTTGACATCCAACTTGGACTTTTCTTTCTCGTCTGCCTTTGTAATGATCTTTCGTCTTTTTCATGGATGATCTCCTCCAACAGCTCATTTTGTCTTTGATCACTGGTGTTCAAGGCCTCAGACCTGTTCCTGAGATGGTTTTGAAATTTGATGGGGATAGACTTAAGGTCAAATTTTGGTTCCTATGGATTTGATTTGATTTTTTTCAACCAGTTTGAACTTGTATATTACTAGTTGTAATTAGTAGTTAGTAATTGGTTCCACAATTAGCACCTGGCCTGGTTTTCACAGCTGATATTGAGCTTCTCCAGAGATTTGTTCCACAGATGTAATAGATTTGATTCCTTTGCATACCACCAGGTGAAATCCATGTGTATAGCCTGTGTCTGTGTTTCTTCCCCCCCGCCATTCATTCATGGTTGCACTTTTCTCCCCTCCCAACCCTCCCCCCCACCACAGTACACTACCCTCTTAGAAAAGTAAAAGGAAAATCCCTCCCCTCAGGCCCACTCCACTATGCAGCCTTTGCTCTGGACTCCCGTCATGACAAAAATACCTAATCACATATCCCTTTTAAACCGTTCTTTCCCTCATCTGTTTCAATGCAGTATACATTATTGAACCCAACTTTCTCATTCTCCACCCAAACCCGATGTTAGTCCTGTATAACAACAGTGGCACCAAGCAGTATTTGTCCTTTCGTGACTGAGATACTTCACTCAGCATAATGTCCTCCAGGGTCACCCATTTTGAGTAATATTGCATGAGTTCCTTGTTTTCAATGCAGCATAAAACTAAATTGTGTGAATATACCACAGCTTCTCTATCCATTTGTTTGTTGATGGGCACTTATGTTGCTTCCAACTCCTTGCTATCATGAACAAAGCCACAATAAACATGAGTGTTCTATATCTGCTTGGGTATCAGTTATGGTCTCTTTGTGGTATATTCCCAGTAGTGAAATTCCTGGGTCAAATGGTATCTCTATTTGCAACTTTTTGAGAAAGTCCCATACTGCCTTCCACAGTGGTTGCACCATTTTACACTCCCACCAACAGTGAATAAGGGTTCTAGTTTCTCCACAACCTTGCCAGCATTTGTTGCTTGCTGTTCTGTTAAATTTTGGTATTTTGACTGGGGTGAGATGATATCTTACAGTTGTTTTGATTTGCATATGTCTATTAGAGCTAGGGATTTTGAACATTTCTTCATATGATTATTATCCATCTGAATGACTTCTTCGATGAAGTGTCGTCTCTTCATATCTTGTGTCCATTTTTCAATTGGATTATTTACCTTTATCTTGTGGTGGCATTTGTGTTTCTTATAAAGGGTATTTGCAATGAACAAATCATTGAACGTACAGAATTATATCACTGTATCTCCAGCCTTATTTCTGTCACCAAGTCCATGTTTCCCAGCTACTGATCCTTCTTCCTTGTTCCCAACTTTTTTATTCCAGTCACCCATTATTATCATTGCATCTTGATTACATGTTTGATCAGTTTCTGAGTACAAAATTATACCACATGATTTGGAAGAGTAATTCCTGTAAACATTCTTTAGAACTAGAACATTATTTTATTAAGAAAACTAACAAAAACAATTTTCATATGCTTGCTCAGGTAGCTTAGTAGCCAGAATCACCCACCAAGGGATTGTCTTCTGCCTTAGAATCCACTGTGCTGTTAGATTCCCTCTTTAGAATAGGGTGATAAAAGTTGTCAGACAAACCATTAATCTTCAACAGCAGTTCATCTAACAGATCTGAAAATTCATCCAGGTAGTAATTCTGAAGAAAAAAAAAAGAAAATTAGTAAATGAATTCAAGTGCCTAATTCTTCTTCCCTCATTTCCTGAAGTCATTATGAGAAGATAGGAGTTCTAAGTGTTCCTCTTTATGTCCCCATGTTACCTCATTGATTGTTGACATATACAGATGTGTGCATGGACAATACTGGTCACACAAAAGACTAAATAATAGACTCAAATGAGTAATATATAGGAAAGTCTTTTCAGGTCCTCACTGGATCTTTCCTCATCCACTCACCTCCTTCCTTCACCTACCAAACTCTGTAACCCCATAATATTCCCCTCTCTACCCTCAGGCTCTTGGTCCCTCCCCTTCTCCCTTTGGATTTTTACACACATCTTACTGGTTATCCTTCTACTTTTACAATAATAGTCTTATGCAGTGTTTATTATGAGATTGAATGAATATAAATCAAGGGTGATTAATTTTATAAAATACAACATATGGAACAATCATATGAAACATAATGTGAATGAAGAAAAATGTGAAACACGATGCATATAAACTTTGTGTGAAATCAATTTAAAGTAAAAAATAAAAAAGAAATAAAAGCACAAATTAAAAAATATATAGGAAATTACATGATACACAATAAAAGCCTTTTATAGGCTTATATTTTATATACAGAATACCATGATTTCATATTACTGGTTTCAGAACCACAGTGGATGATCTAAAATATGATCAATTAAAAATGGCTGAATTTTCAATGCTCAAATATCCAGTTTTGGTATGTTTGTAGTGAGGTCTTTGATGACTAATCTCAAATACTGCACTCAAGTCTCCAATTTAGGGTAGAAGTTTTTTGGCAGGTACCAAAAGTAAATGGCTAAAGAAGATGGGGTAATGTGTGTATATTTTGAACAAGGACCATAAATTACACCTTTACAATCTTTCCAATTCATTTTGAAGCTATGATGAGAGGATAATGTCTTTAGTAAGCTACAAAGAATTTTCTTGGATTTCAAGAGGAAATGTCAGGGGAAAATTCCATGAGTATCATTATGTTTGAGTAATTAGGTGGCTTTGCCACAATATTTGATACAGAATAAAAATTATGATTTAATAACTCAAAATAAGTCCTGCAATCAAGTCATCCTCTTATTTACACTACTGGTCCACCCAATCCAAGAACCCAGGGCTCACCTTATTGTCAGTCACTGGCATTTCTTTCAACATTGGCCTTCCTAGACCCAGGAAGATAAGGGCCTTCCCCCAAGTGTGAGAAATGACATCTTTAAGTCTCAAAAGATATTCATGTTGAAAATATTTTCTTTTTCTGGCAAAAGTCATGAGAAAACTTCTCAACTAGAGGAAAAGAGATAAATTTCATGTATTAAAGTTGAAATTATTTGGTTAAATTTTAAAACTGAAATTGTTACTCCTCAGGACAGTTTGGAGACTAAGGTGTGCGTCATCCTTGCCATGGTCTTCACAATTTCTTGCTATGCCTCAGAGACCTGGATAATGACTAAGGATGACAGAAGAAGAATTGAAGTCTTTGAACTGTGGTGTTGGAGAATAGGACAGGATATTCCCTCATTGACCAAAAGAACAACAAAAAAAAGTATGTCTTGGAGAAGGTGCAGTCAGAGTGATCCATAGAGGCAAAGATGGTGAAGCTTCACCACTCATACATTGGGCATGTTTCTAGGAGAGTCTGTTCTAGGAGAAGAACATCATACTTGGAAAGGTGGAAGGATGGTGAAGGAAGGGAAGACCCTCAACCAGGTGGAGTGACATAGTGACTGCAGCAATATGTTTGTGTGTGTCAGAGATTGTGAGGATAGCACAGGATGTAATATGGTTCACATCTGTTGTTCATAGGGTCACTATGAGTCATATTTGACTTGACAGCACATACCAACAACAGAGGTTGTTGTTGTGCTGTCAAGAGCCTCTCTAAAGTGCTAAAGAGCAAGTATATCAGTTTAAAAACTAAGGTATGCCTGGTTCAAGACATGGTATTTTCAGTTATTTCTTATGCATATGAAAGTTGAACATTGACTAAGGATGACAGAAGAAGAAGAGTACTAAATATCACATGGACTGTCAAAACAAGAAACAAAGTCTGTTTTGGAAGAAGTGCAAAGAGGGTACTCTTTAAAGACAAGAATTCGAAAAGATTTTTTGATATATGTTTGCCATGTTGTCAGGAGAACAAAAAAGACATCATGCTGGAAAAGGTGAAAGGTCAGAGAAAGAAAGGAAGAATCTCAAAAAGATGGATTGACACAGTGACTGTAGCAAATAGTTTCAAGCATATCAGATATTGCTAGGATGGCACCGAAAAGGACAAGGCTCAGAGGTATTGTTATGAGGTCACTATGAGTCATAGCCAACACTATAGCACCTAATGTTGTTGTTGATTGCTATCGAGTTGAGAACAACTCATAGTGACCCTATGAACAAAAGGCCTGATGCCTCTTTATAACTATCATCGTTTCTCAAAGTTTATAGTTTCCAGAGGCATGCGGTTTAGAAGTGTATGCCACTTCTGCTTCCAAATAGCACCTAATAACAGCTCTTAACTGAATGGTCTGGCTTTTACATTCTGCCTTTGATTTTTCTCTAAGTCTTCCTTAAAAAGGTTTCTGTCAGTTGCTTCCATAAGTTTAACTTTTATCTTTTTTTTTTAAGTGATGTTGAGTTGCTTGTGTACAACGGCTCCGAACCCCGCTCTATCCTATTGCAGTCTAATAATCCTAAACAAACCCACCCCCAACACAAGTCACTAAGTCAATCCATCTCATTAGGAGTCATTCTCTCTTGCTCTGTCCTTGCACTCTCCAAAGGCTCAATGCAAATATAGTATCTCCTTAGGAAGAACAAATTGATTTCTAATTTAAGTTGCCTGAAAACCCTATGCACAACAGAACACATGCAGATTAACAGAAAGGGCAACCTAGGTAGAACTATCAAGTATGGAAA